TAAAAATTATATAATAGTATATAAATAATACTAAAATAATATTAGTCAACATGAAGCTTCCCTAATGTAATTTGGGCAGAAGTTGATTTTAATCATCACAGTTGTGATAAGATTGTGAAAAATGAGCATTTTTAACAAAAAGTATGAGCACAGCTTGCTATATAATAGGTCAATGCGATTTTGATTCATCTCAATGAATCCTTCGAGTCCATCCTCCAAAAAGATTTGATCACTGATTTGTTCAAGGGCTCTTTATACAGGTCACGTTGTTACAGCAGTAGGTGGCGACAATGTCTTTTTGTGTGTTTTGAACAAATCGACTCATTGACTCCAATGAATCATAAAGACCTATCAAAACTACTTTAAAGAAACTATGAACAATGACAGCAACAGGGCCGTCCTTTGGGCAGTGCAACTGGTGCAGTCGCACTGGGCCCCGCGCTTTGAGGGGGCCCCGTGGTGAACTGACCGAGGGGAAACGCAATCGCGAAACTGAGCGGACCGAGGGGGCCCCGCATCAGCTAAGGACAGCCCTGGACAGCAATACACTAATATACTGCAATTTTCCTTTCATCAGTCTCGTTACGTTCAGACTCAAAACACTGACGTGTTCAGTAAAAAACGGCATATAGATTTAGTTGGTCCTAATGAGTCAAATTCACAGTCAAATGCTAGTCATTCTTTAAAGGCAGGAAAAGCCAAACAGTCACATGCTTCAAAAGTGAGAGATTTGACACTTATGATTCGTTACCATATTATGGAGAAGTTTCTGGTTTTCATATACGTAAGCCAGACATAGTTCAGCACTCTCTTTGTGGAAATCAAGCTAATCACGGGCGGTATTTAATGGTGCTTTTGTGTGGCCTGACTAATGAAACGACTCTGTAGGAGATGATGGCCTAGCTGATGTGTGTGGGGAAAAGGAGGGGTGGCCCAGCTGTATTAAAAGCTTGATTGTAATCATTTAAGCATCAAACGGTAATGTCGGGACATTACTGACCCTCATGGAGAAGCATAATTATACGGCGTGACCTCTACCAACCCGATAGCCTGCTCCAAGCATCAGAATGCCTGTCACACGTCACTGATGGCGAGGAGAGCGTTTTGTAAGATGGATTAGATGGCTCTTTTAAAGGCCATGGCCTCTTTAATATTGTTTGAAGAGGAGAGATGAGAAGGGAGAAAGCAGGGTAGGATGTATATGAAAGTAGATAGAAGGGAAATAGACAAAAAAAGGGAATGGAAATAACAAAACAATCCTTATTTAAGGAAAGGAGGCGGGGAATTTTTATTCTAGCGAGCATTTGATAGGACAAAGATCTTTTAGTGCAGGATGAGTCATCAATATTTGTGACTGTAAATATTACAGTTAATTTTGTTCAAGGTTTTGAAATATATTAGCATACAGACAGCCTGGAAATTAAGAAACATGGAATATAAGCCATAAAACTATTTTTGATTTCAGGTAGTCCTTGAACTACAAAAATGAGTAATTTTACCCCTGATTTATTCATCATTTTCATTCAAGCACGAAGTGCATAGAACAAAACAGATGGGAAACATGAAATCAGGCCCAACTGGCTAGTGAAAACAATAATGCGCAATGTGTTTACTAAAAGATCTCCTTCCATCAAAGGCTCTTGAGACAGACTTGCTGTTTGTGTTGATGTTGATCAAAGAGCATCACTGGACTGAGGCTGTACACGGGTAATGTGGCGAGCTGTCACAATGACGGATGCGTCATGAAAAGCCCCGCCGTCCTTTTCTCTTTCTTAGGAGTCCATCAAAATTTGCGAGCCTTTCTCAAAAGGCACTGACAGAACAACAAAGTGTCTGAGACGTGTCGGGTGGCGGGTGTCTGTGGAGATAATGTCTCGTCAGCTTGTTGACAAATGAATTTTCTCTTGGTCAAATGGGGGGTATTTGCATATCAGACTGTTGATGCGGTGCTCTCTCGGGTAGTGTTTAGACCATAGGAGAGCCGATGCAGGAAGTTCTTTATGATCTGTGTTGCTTTAAGTGATTTGTATATGTATACTGGGCCTAATGCGTATTTAGACATGTACTAGTCTCAACCTCAGACGTCATGCCCACGGACCGCTGGCTGAACGTCTGATGCATATCGCACTCAAAATTGGAAACACTTCGAAGTTTCGAAGTCGTCATCGGATTGGTTAAATTATACAGGATTTCCGGGAGACGTGTGTGTCGCGTTCTTTAAGATGCCGTGATGCCAAACCCTCTCATGGAGTTAAAAGTCTGACTGTGATGATAAGCGCTTAACAGGATCAACTAAACGCTGGATTTTCAAAAGTATGTGAAAAATGTAAAGTTCGCAGCATAGAATCTTTAAAATATGTCCAAGAGTTTTACACACCGGTCTGTTATTGTGGCGACATTTTCACGCCCATAAACATGACGCAGCACGAAACGTGATTGGTTGCTTTACCTGTCAGTCATACGGCCTCTTGGGTGGGCTTTGGCCATTCTAAGTGGCAAAGGTTCCCAGACCTTCTGTCTGAAGATCTGGCTATATGCAAGACTGTACAAGCTGCTTATATGAATTTCAGTGCATTAGAAAACTAATTGGTTGACTAAATTGGTTAATTAGAAACCAAAGTGGCATCAAATAAACAATTACCTTTTTTTGCAATTACTTTTAACCAACTTGTTCCAAGGTGTGTGGGAAATCAGTTCTTCTCAAGTCCAAAAGTTTGGGGTTTGGGGTAAGATTTTTAAATGCTTTTGAAAGAAGTCTCTTATGCTCACCAAGGAATTTATTTGATCCCCAGTACAGTAGAGAATTATTGTGAAATATTACAATTTAAAATGATTTGAAATGTTTTCTATTTAAATCTATTCATATTTATTGAAATAAAATGTAATTTATTCCTATGATGCAAAGCTGAATTTTCAGTACTCATTACTCCAGTCTTCAGTGTCACATGATCCTTCAGAAATCATTAGAATATATTGATTTGGTGCTCAAGAAACATTTTGTAAGATCAGTGTTTAAAACCATTTTGCTGCTTAATATTTTTTGTGGAAACCATTTTTAATGGATTTTTTGATTAATAGAAAGTTTATTTGAGCATTTATTTGAATAGAAATCGTTTGTAACAGTATAAATGTCTTTGCTGTCACTTTTAATCAATTGAATACGTCCTTGTAGAATAAAAAAGTATTCCTTTCAAAAATTCTTACTGACCCCAAACTTTGCACAGAATAAATTGGATCTCATTTTATATTTTTTATGTAATGCAATACATTTTTAAGCACGGTGTAAGAATCCAAATACTTTTAGGACCGCTGAATGTGAGTTTGTTGCTAAGGACACCTATGTTCATCCATCTCTCCACCAAAACATCCAAAAATGTCAATAAACTGACAGGAAATTCAAGCTTCAGTCTGAGATATGGGTAATTAGCACCGGCTCCGTGCTATAAATCTTGTGGTGAACACCAGTGAAATTGTGATGGGGGAATGAAAGATGCATAGAGGCCTCGTCAGAGCGTGTAAAGCAGACTGACGCCGATTTTATTAAACAGTTATTAAACAGGCTGGCCTAATGTAAAAAGAAAGATTTGCCCGCCTCTAAATGGGCTATAATGCCGGGCCGGCGGAGCATCAGGGGCACAGCATCTGTGACTCTGCTGATGAAGATTAGCTGACTTCTTAGATTAGGTGTGCGTGGTTCGTGCAGTCAAGTGAAGTGGCAAGACAAAAACCCGGTGTTAATTGAGAGTAACCAGATCCTGCAATCTGCCCCTCTCATGTGTACTGCTCTCTGGCACCTGTGTGTTTGTATGAAGCAGGTATCTAATGAACAGCCGTGCATGAGGTTTCTTCTTTATTTTAGCCACGTTCTAAGACAAATGGCCTCTTCTTCTTAGACTGAATGAGGACAAATAACACAATTTGCCCAAAGTAATGAAGAAAACCAGAAGCCACAGAATATTTAAGTGTTAAATTGCTGTTTTTGATAGTGAACCACTGAAAAACAAACTATTCATTTTAACATGCAAAGAAGATTTAGGACAATTCTTGTTTTAGCATCCATAGAAGAATTTGTGTAAAAGCATGGCGTGGTCTTCTCATGACATATGACAGACTGCAACAGAAAGGATGTGAGCAAATTTTCAAGATTAGGGGTGACGGAATGTAAAAAAAGAATTTCAAAACACAATAATGATTTACTATTCAGAATTAAAGTAAATTTAATAAAATCAAATGTAATAGAAATACTTGTTTACTTTTCAAGCCTAACATGATCGGCAGTGGTTGTAACTGTCGAAAGTTATTTGTTTAAACTCCAGAAGGGGCATTTCGTGATTTTGAGGGATATTTTGTTCCTGATAATCACTGTGCCCCTGAGAAAGGCATGATGCTTGAGGGTGAGATATACTATAAACCACTTTGGATACGAACATGTCTATTAAATGGCATTTATTTGTTGTTACACATGTGGGCTTGTTGTTCAGAGATGTTGGTAAGAATCCCTAAAATTTGCAAATGATGGTGGTTCAATACTTTAATATTACTGTGCCAGCAATCCAAAGGTTGCTGGTTCAAACCCCTGAAGGGCGATTCATGTGCTGGAGAGTTATCCCCTTTATCACTGTTTTGCCCTTGAGCAATGTACTTCTTGCTCCAGGGAGACTGTACTTGTAGTAAACACACTGATGTAATTTGGATAAGAAAACATCTGCCCAAACCGTCTTTCGGTGGTAGGGTGGTGGGCTTTAATCCGAAGGTCATTTTTCAAACCCTAGAAGGTTTGATTCATGAACCGGACAGTTGCTGGGATTCCCTATCACCATTTTGCCCTTGAGCAAGACACGATAGAGGGGTTAAGCGGGACCGTCCTTGTAGTAAATGGACTGTAAGATGCTTTGGATTCAAGACAGCCTTTGAGTTTTAAAAGGCTCAGCACATCTGCACAGAGATACATATGTTTAAGTATTTCGAAATGTTGAAAAACTGAATATGATTTGACTAACCTCTGGTTACACAGCTGGCAGGCAAAGCAGTCCAGGTGATAGACGTTCTCCTTGGCTCTCATTACCATCTCAAATGCTGGGATGAGTTTACTGCAAGCCGCACAGTTCCCTGTCACACCGAACAACCTGACAGATTGAAAAAGATGTGACGTTTTAGAGTCAGAACCATTGGATCAACCATATCATTACGACTGAAATGGGATTGTTAGGGTGATTTATAAATAAATGACTCTTATGAACAAGTTATTTATAGTGAATCAAAGAGAACAACCAGTATGGTACAATTCACAAATTACTTTTTATTAATGACTTTTTATTAATGAATCAAAAACTTAAAAATAACCAATGTAGTCTGATTCACAAACAAATGACTCTTATGAGTCTGTCCTTAAACAAATCATTTTTTTCCATTCCCATTTATGGGGTTTATTACACAAGTTTATCATATTATATAAATTATTACAGTGTTTTACTCAAGACTGATTATAATATCTGCAGCTGTTTGCTATTCATTTTTTAAATAAATATTTTTGTCACAAGGTTCCCTGTGTAGCATTGCCTGAGAAACGTATTTGAATTCATATGAAATGTATTAAATATGAACGCAAAATGGACTATATAGCTGAGATATGTACAACTGAACAACATGAATCAAACTGAACAAAGAGCTTGTGAACAGAACCAAAAAACAGTATCGATACGAAGCCTACTTCAATATTTCCCATAATGGGAAAGATAATTTTTTACCATATTTAAGGTTGAAAAAGACTGTGCATTGGACAAAAACACGTAAGTGGACTGCGATGTGAACATCATGGAGATGTCCAGGCCGGGTGAGGTTAGCACCACAGAGCCGCTGCCCAGGAACGAGCCTATTATTTTCCAGCCCGCTCGTGGGACATTACGGAGAGGATTCATTAGGGATTCATGGCTGTTACTCCACCGCGACCTAGACTGAGTAAAGGGGGGAAGGGGGAAAAGAAATATCTGATAACGAAATCATATAACAAAATAACCTATTAGGCGGACTTCTTCGGGCACTTTTAGCCGTCGTTGTTAAAATGATAAAACTGCATGCCACTCTCCAGCTCTGTAAGAGATCACAATCTGATAAATGATCTCGAGGCCTGGGATATGCAGGGTTGTTTATTAACCTTCAGAAACTATGTTTCCCACAAGCAAATAAAAAAGAGCCGAGCAGATAGATTGTACTCTCATGAATACCTACAAAATTAAAGGCTACTGTCAACACACCTTGAGACGATGAAGGATATCTCCAATAGCTTTCCAGGTAAGATGAGAAAGAAAACGAGAGTTCGTCCTGTGGATTGGTGCTGTCGATTTAATTAAAGGAATTATGCCTTTTTCTTTGAGCTGTCTAAATATAGACACGTTCGCGATATCACGTCTCCACTATTTTCAGAAAAAGTGTATTGCCAGAAGGCCTCAGCATGAAAGAGATGAAATGATGAGGCATATTTTTTCCACTCGCATCTTGCAATTATTATATATATCAAAGATCTAAATGCAAATATAAAAAGGATGATAGATTCACTGTACGATAACTCGCTTATATAAGGAAAATTATTATGGTGCATTAATTCATGTTCTGAAAAGAAAAGACGCATTAATGCACGCGCTGGATTTCAGTTGATGAATGATAGATGATATCCATATGAAAAAATGATGCTTGAAGGTCTTTTTGTCATCAGGTTGAATCAAACTAGTATTGGGTTTGCCACTCTAGCGAGCTGTGAGCTCAAAACGTCTCGTCTCGTGCAAATTTAAAGTAACCAATACCTTTCCTGGAATTGGACAGTCATGCCTTTTTGCTTTGAGCATTTGAGGACAGAGGTCTGTGCTTTGCAAACACACAAAGCATTGAGTGAAGAGAATCTAGCTGTGTATTACATGCGCTGCACTGAGAAATCAATAGATGTGTTTTTATTTAAAGAACTGACTGTATTTTTTCTGTGTAATGGATTGTGATCCATCAGAAACTAGATGTAAGTGGAGTATCTTGATGTACAACCATGTTCTTTGGGGAATTTGTTTTGCAGCTTCATTTTGACTGCTGGTTTTAGCTATTCCCTTGTTTCGAAACTGACAGATTTACTCTGGGCTCATATTTTCACACAGCACATTAATATACTCCTTTATTTTTGAGTTTCGACTTGAGTTAGATCGTGTGAAAATTGTCTTGAGAATTTTACTGAAATGGTTCTGCCAGCCAGCATATTTACGTATCTGAACTCATATCTTGTATTAAACACTAGATTAAAAATGTTCGATACAAGTTCAGCTCTATTTACAGCTTTTGTGGCATATTGTTGATTAGCAAAAAAAATTTGAGTCATCCTTAAATTATAGCTTTTTAATAAAAAGCCGAGAAGACATTTATTTTTGATGAAAAATATAGTAAAAGCAGTAATATTGTGATTTTTTTTCTATTTTAATCAATTATTTTATTTTATTTTTTAATTAATTTTCAGCGGCCATTACTCGTTTTCAGTGCCACATGATCCTTCAGAAATCATTCTAATATTCCTATTTGATGCTCAAGAAACAGCTTTTATTTGTAAAATTACTTGTATTATAATGTAATATAATATAAATAATGTATTGCTACTTTCTGAATAAAAGTATTAATTTCTTTAAAAAAAAATATATATATATACTGTACATATATTGATCCCAAACTTTATAAAATATATAAAACAAAATATATATGTATATGTATGTATGTATTTATGTATGTATATAAAATATCTATAATATACCTGCTGTATATTGACCACTAGTGGTGAACCTCCACAGACATTAAAAGACCCACTGATGCTTAAAGTAGGGAACTGTGCCAGAAGCATCCAACGTCCCTCCGTACAGGAGACTCTCAGAGAGCTCTGTTTCTCAGCTCAACAGGAAAAGGGGAGGGGCGGTAAGATGGATGAAGCCCTACCTGCCACTTGTCTTTCCCCGATCTGCCAGTTTGATGCCGAAGACGCTAATGGCCCTCAAGGGAGGTGGCAAATTAAGCGTGCATGGCTTGTAATAAATTCGGAGGTGCATGTTCTCTAAATGCAGTCTGCAAGAGAAAAACCTGAGAGTCCGGAGACAAATGCAGACCGTTCTTCCCATTTATGTTCCGTCGGGTGAAGAAAACGTACAACAGTTCAACTGAGTTTATCGCTCAGTCCGGTTTTCAGTCAATGGTCAGTGGCTGTGTAATATTTGTAGAGTGTTATAGAGGAAATCAAACTCCCTTCGACATAAAGGCTGACAAAATGGCATGTATATTTTAGCAGGCTGAAGAGGCAGCGTGAAATTAAAATTCATGGCGGCTCGGATTCATAAGTTAAAAGAGAATGCGCAATCAGTACCACCTGATTGGACACAAAAGGTGTTGGAGGTGCACAGCGGCTTTTCACAGCTGAATGGCACTTATTTGATGAGAGGAAAACAGACACCAATTAAATTATTCCACAAGGCTTTATCCTAGTGGTCACAGAAGCGAGGCTCAAGCGTGCAGCTTTACTGTAATCATTAGACAGTGCCCCAATGGAAAATGCATGAGCTATGTCACCTCGATATTCTCATCCAGCTCGACAAAATCCTTGTAAATTACTCCCTATCAAACGAGAACCCTCTAGGACTCTAATATGCAAGTGATTCAGATAAGACAAAGAAATGAGACACAGTGGTATGGTCCAAACTGTGTCATTTTGGGACCCTTTACACTCAGGGTTTTCAACCAGTGGTCCATTGAGAAGATAATTACATTTTCATTTAAAGGGATAGTTCACCCAACAATATCTTCTTTTATGTTCAATATAAGAAAGCAACTCATACAGGTTTGGAACGACATGAGGGTGAGTAAATGATGACAGAATTTTCAATTTTGGGTGAACTATCCCTTTAATTTCTAACTATTAACTAATTTCAAATTTTCGACGTAATGATCCAGTGTAGTAATCAGGGTTCTGCACCGTTCACTACTGAATTAAGAATGTCTTTTATATTTTAATTCAGTTCCTGAATTTAAATTGATTATTAATTGAGGTAGCAAACATGATGCAGAATTGCAGTTCGAGTTTGAATGTAAGGAAGTAGAATGAAAGGTTACACTTTTTTTAAGGTGTCCTTGTTACAGTCTAATTATAAAGTTAAGTACTGAGTAATAATAGTGAACAACATTAACTATAGGGTTAGGGTTTGATTTAGGGTTAGTTGCTTGAAAGTATGCATATTTTACTGTTACTACTATAGTAAATATATGTAACATGTTACAAGGACACTGTAAAATAAACTTACCACATTTTAAACTGTTTTGGAAAACTTCGAAGACAGATACATTTGAATGAGGTTTGAAATGCCACCTATATAAATTCATATTTAGTTTAATACATTAACTTCTGTGGGCCAGTGTGCAAGAACACTTCATTTGTCTGGGAATTTCTTGGAATTCCAATTCAGTTACAGTTCAATTCTATTTCCTGTCATTCCGATGCTCTTGAATTGAATCAGAGCCTGAATTCTGTACAACCTTGGTAGATAATGTTTTAAATTAAATTTATAATGGAGAAAATATAGCTTTTTTTATTCTGGGCTTTCTAGCTGAGAGACTGGGCTAGAGGTTGAGAGGCTGAGTAGGGGGTCCTGGGCCCTGTAAAGGTTAAAAATAATAATGTGATTTTGAGCAAAGCAAAGCATAACGTTTATCTGAAACGTCAGGCCTGTATTCATTTCGCTTCATTTGTTTGGGTATTTTCTGAACATCAAGGGCAACAAATTAAGTATTACTTTCTCCTTTCTGTACCTCTTTTTTCCCGGGAAAAGAGAAAGAATGATAACACCGCCACCTCCAGAAGCATTTGAAATTCTGACAGTGGCTCCCTCTCTCCATCTTGCTCCTCTCTCCCGCCGCCACCCCTGCGACTTCAATCGCTCTGGCCTCAGCATGCATTCATCAGCTGCCGAATTAGAATTTGTTTCCTCACAAACCATTGATCATCGGCCTATTACCAGGCAAATGACAGTTAATTACCCACTACATTAACCACCGGGACCCGGGGACCGGCCGCCTGTGCCATCAGTCACAGTGATGAATGTGGCAAGTTCAGTAATGC